CTATCTTTCCAAGCTATAAACCCTTATAATATTAATAAACCCTCAGATATTACCAAATAAGAGATTTTAAAATTCTAAACTGCTCCTAAATATCCTACAATTATTAAAAGAATATTTTATTCACAGGAAAGAGGATGGACAAGACGTATTTGGGGATGATACCTTGGTGAATGCAGACAGTAGTTTTTCCAGTTTGCTCCAAGTGTTGATCTACAGGTTCTACTTCTTCAGTGCTTGTGCCATTCGGGGAAGAACTGGCCTGAGTGTCATTCTGTATATCCTGAACAAAGCCATCTTTATCATAGCCATTAGTCACAATGATTTCCAGATTCTCATGATCTGCTGATTTCTTCATCATTTTCTTATCTTTTATGAGACAATGGAGAGATTCATAAAAGTTCACAGGAGGTCAACTTCTGCACACTATGTTCTAATATCCAGTAGTCATTTCTCCAATCTACCATAATCCCTTTGAAGAACTTCCTACACGGATTAATAGATGGGCTGCTCCTTGAAAAGGGGTTTAACATATGCTGAGAGCTCACACAAACTGCTAGCTTCAAAACTGCTTCAGTTCCCTGGAAATCTTCTAGAATCCCTTTTAAAAACTAATCTCTAAAGGTCTTTACACTCTCTTAGGCATAGGCAAATTGCTCTATGACATCTAGCAGCTCAAAGGGGTCCATGTAGCTGATAAAAAGATCCTTAAATCCTTTGGGAGTGCAGTAGTTAAAAATAAAAAAAATAAGCCCTTGAAGAAGGTATTATTCATCACACCTTACTGGAAAGGGAAGGCAAAACTAAGACTGTGTGGTTTGTTTGTGTCTTTCAGTCTCCCCTTTCTAAAACAGTCTTCCCATGATTCAGTGGTACTCTTACTAACAAGGCCCCTAATGCACTATACCTCATGATTCCAATGTTCCTTCCTCATCAAAACATATACCTGTATCCTATTCTCTGGATTCCCTTCTACTTTTGATAAGATATTTAGACTTTACCTTGTCTCCTATCCTTGGTAATATATGCATATTCATATTGGAAACAATATCTTAAAGTAATATATGTCTAGGCGGCACTATTTGCAGAAGTGACCTATTCTCGCCAGCCTTCAATTAACACCTATTCCATTCATGCCTCAGGCTGGCTGGCCCTATATTCTGTAGGACAGCCTTTTGGTCCACAGCGATCCTGGGTAAAGGGTCAACGGCCCACATCCCAACACAATACCAAATCAGCCCAAATATCTTCATATCCTTTTATCTTGTTTAATGTAAAATTATTAACCCATTATCCCAAAATTACCATTATCACTTTGTTCTGCTCCTTTCACTTTTTCTTGGGCCTCTTCTTCCTCAGACTCAGCCCCACTGTCACTGCTTTCAGCTTTACCGTTAACAGTTTTGGCATTTGGAGTAGAAGTCAGAACATTACCAAGATCTGAAATGTGAAATTACCACTTAATTGCTAATGTGATAATATAGCATAATGGTATAATCTCCAAAAAAACACTATAAACTAACAAGTAACGAATAAAACCATTTTAAATTAAAATGTTAAAATT